TGCGCGGAATCACGGTTTCCGAGTCCCCCGGGGAGAATGTAGATACACCAAGGGCTAATCCTGAGGCCGCGCGATCCCACTGATCAGTGTTTAGGTCGCGGTGTTTAGGTCGCCACGCGGTGCGCGGCAGGTGTCCAGCTAGTTTTGCGTGGGGGAGTAAGGGCGGGCGGGGGACAGATGCCACAGCAAATCACAATTGCGATTCCTAGCTTCATTTGTTTGACTCCTTTCGGAATCTGTGTCGCCGGCATTCGCGGCCCTTCGTGTGATCCGGGGTTTCAGAGGGCACGCGTGATCACGCTTGCCCCTCGAACGCCATGCCGCGTCCCCGCCCCCCTTCCGCGCCACACCCGAGCGCAAAACAACGCCCGTGATCCCATTCTATGCTCGAAATGGAAGCCGGATCCGGGGCATTCCCGCCGGCGCCGTCGCCCGAGGCAGCCGAGGGCGCGCCGTCCCCCTGACCGCCGTCCCACGTGATCCACGCGTGTCGGGAAGATGCCGTCGTCCTTCGAGACGGCCGGGACGATGGTGGGCACCTCAAAACACCGATGAACATGCCGAGCATGGAGAAGCTGGCCGGTTCGAGCTGGGAGACCCGCCGACCCGACGCCCACTTCACGGGGGACCGACTGCCGCTCTCCACCACGCCTCCAAGTCTCCATCTCGGTGACCGTGTGTTCCCATGGATAGGCGGTCGAGATTGGGGCCCACTGGTTGTCGCCGGCGGAATCCTCGGCGGGCACGCGAACCGGAGTTGCCCCGAGCGACCGTTCGGAATCCGACGCCCGGCGATGACCGAGGCTCCAAGGCTCGATGCCGGAAAAGTTTCCCACCCTCCTGGAGCAAGATGAACCCGCAGAAGGGGCCTCCAGAGGCCGACCGAGGCGGGCGACGCGGGGCAAAGAGACGCTGACTGTGCGCAGCCCGTCGCCCCCTCCGCTCGCCGAGGAGGCCATCTGAACGGCCAACACGCCGCCAGCGGAAGGACAGTCGATCATGACGCCCGATTGGAGGCCTAGACGCGTGCGGCAACGCCACTCGAGGGCAGTCGGGCGGGACTCGTTGGCCGTCGCACCAACGTGATCACGGCTGGCCGCGACGCGCCTGGGAGGGGGAATCCCCCCGCCCGTCTGCGGCAGGCGTCGTCATTGGCTGTTTTGCGACGGATTTGGAGTGCTCCGCCCGGTTTGGCGGCGAGTTGGTCGCGCCGCGATTGGTTGGGTTTTGAGGGACCGGCGGCGCCCCTGCGAACTCCTTTCGAATCGCAACTCGCCCCGCGGACGGACACCCCTTCTGCCCCGCACTTTCGCGGCGCAGAACGTCGCGCGGACGCGTTTCCCGAAACTTCGCCCTTTTCCCGGCCTCGGCGCACGCCTGCGACCGCCCCCGAGCGCCCCAAGCCGGGCGGGGCAGCGCGGGACCGCGGCACCGGCGGGCACCTTCCTGCGCCGCTGCTGGGCTCGGGACACCGCGCAATCATGTCGGGAGATGGAGACTCCGGTGCCGCCGCGCCCCGGCCCACCAAGGCCGCGGTGGCGGAGGCGGAGAAGAAGGTCCGGGGGGAGAGGGCAGGCGATGCCTTGGACGCCGCCAGGGCGGTCGCTGTGGAGCGCGGTCTCTCTCGGGAGGCAGCGGCGGGTGCTGATGGCACCAGGGATCTGCGGGAGCTGCTGCGCCGCCTGCCCAACACGACCTACCTCGACGAGTGCGCCGTTCTGGTGGGTCTGGCTGCCGCCGTTCCAATCCGCTGCCTGACGCTTGGCCCGTGCTTCGCGTGCCAGAACGCCCATTTGTCGATCATTCGGGGCGACGAGGAGGTGAAGTGGCAAGGGAACATGTCGAAGGAGCGGGCACGGCGATGGCTTTCAACAGGGTGGGTCGGGGCGGCAGCTGCCGCGATCTCGCCGATCTCATCTCCTTTGCCAACCGCAGGCTTGCTGGGAGAAGCAGGACGAGAACGTGAGTTCTCCTGTCGGCCGGCCCCAATGGCCGTCGCTTCGGCACGACCTGATATCATCCTTCACTATAGAATCGGGTTCTTGTTTTGCTGGCGAGTTCGTCGCGCCGCCATTTTCCGAGCTTCCCTCCTTATTGCACGTCGCCCCATGGACGGACACCTCTTCTGCCCCGCCTTTTGCGGCGCAGAACATCGCGTGGACGCGTTTCCCGCGCCCTCGCTCCTCTCCCGCCCTTAACGCGCTCGACCGGCTTCCCCGCTTTCGGCGCTTTCCGACAAAGCTGGCCAACTTGTGTCTCCGCAAAAGAGCATCAATTGAATGAATGCACCACGATTCAAGATGTACACCACCATGAAAAGCTCTGTCACTGCTCAAGACGTGGGTTTTCGTGACCACCACAAGCCTCCAGCCTCTTCACTGCCCGCTGGCAGTGGCCTCGGGAAGCTGCGACCCCATCCGCAAGCTGTTGACCACGACGGCATCGTAGATTCTGTCCGGCGTGAGACACCGCACGAACCGCAGACCCCAAGAATCTGTCCGCACGGAATCAGCACTGCAGACACCCCATTGCGGCGCGGGCAGCACACCCACCGAGTCCGACAGGGTAGCGAGGCATTGGGAAGGGGGAACGGAGTGCGTGCAGGAGAGATATGGCGCAGTACCATGGCGGAGTCCCCGGGAAGGCGGCAGAAAGCTTCAGGCTGGCGGCAAACGTCCGAATGTGGCCTTCATCTGCGAGCCGAAGTGGTCAACGGATGCGGCACAGCGGCCGACGCGAAGAAAACCCACAGAGCTTGCGGTTGGGATGACCAACCATTTGGTCGATCATCTCGTACTGCTTGTTCCATATTTCCGTCTCGATTCTGGGAAGAACGACGCAAACGGGTCAAACAGGCCTGTGCGGGCCTCGAAAGATCGTCATCCTTAGATACCAACTCGCCAGGTTCCATGTTGCTAACGGCGATCCCCAGGGGAGCGAGCTCCATCCTCATGGCGTCGCCGGCCGCTCGAATCGCATGCTTGGACGCACAGTCTGACGAGGAGTGAGTGCAAAGTCCCGGAATGCCGACAGGCGGCGACGCACACGCGGCATTCATGGGAGCCGTGATCATGCTGAGGAGCGACCCGGTAATGACGATCCGCCCGCTTCCGTTCCGCCTGATCAGGGGCAAGAAGGCGCGGCACGTTTCAAGCGCGCCAAAGAAGTTGACATCCATGATCTTCTTTTCCTCCTGCAGCGTCTCGAGCTGTTTTCGGCGCAACAGCTAGTGAGCGCAGTTGAGTCAATCCAGCGACTGCCAACGCACCTCGAAGACGGACCCGAGATTGATGCCTGAATGAAGGAACGACACTTTGAGCGAAAAGGCAAGAGCCGCCTTATTCGGCACACGCTTACCAGCGTTCGCAAAGACTGCGTAGACACCGTTCTTGCCTCCCGGACGCTGCTGCTTCCGCAGCTCCGTCTCGACCTGCCTGACCGCATCTCCGATCGTCTCGACCTTTGCGACGTCCACGATGATCCACTTCAAATCCCCTCCAGGCACGTACGGGGTGCCGAGCCAGCCGGTCACGAAGTCCAGCACACGGAAGAAAACGTTGCCGCGGCGGGCCTTGAGGGCGGAGCGACGGGCACGCCACGCGTCGAGCAGCTTCTCTCCGTCCGCAGGGCGCCGTACTCCGGCAAAGACGTGGTATCCCGCCCCGGCAAGCGCGATAGCGGTATGGAAGCCGATTCCTGTCGCGAGCACGTGGTCATGCGCCGCAAAGCGGGCCTAGGCACGCGAAAGTTACCCGTAGAGGTGCCCGTGCAGACCACAATGGGGTGGTTGGTGGCAGTAGGATAGTCGACGGCGAAGCTGGCGCGTCGTACCAGGTCAACGGGGTCTGAGTCCGGATTAACCAGTTTGCTCACCTGACCTGGCTTCCGAGAAGCCAGAGGAGTGTGGCGAACGCGAAGTCGACCAGAAAGACGAGCTGATCCCACAGGAACAGCGTTGGCATGAGGAACCACATCGCAACGCGATGGAACGCGCCCGGGCCCTGCGGGGCGGCAGGCTTGGGCTCCCTCGCCACCGGGACTTCCGCACGCGCGGAGGGCGAAGCCATCGCGAAGGAGAGGCTCTTGAAGTGCTCAGAATAGGCGATTTCGGGCCCCGAAGGGGAGAAGAATGGTGAGTATACGCAATGTTTGCAGCAGCGTCGCACCGGCCAAACACATCCCGCGGTTAACATCCTAGTTGGCTAAAATTCCAGAGAGCAGACCCTAAGCGATCATACCACTAGACCAAACGCCCGTGTTTGAGTGCTTGAACCGGGGGGTGGGGCTCCAAGAGCGTCGCAGGGGCTCGGGCGAGGCCGGGGTGGCCCGGCGCCCGTCTCCCAAACTCTTCCCGCGCTGCCGCGACCTGCCAGTGCCATCCAGCGCATTAGGTTACGGATTTGGGGTCCCTCGCCTCCATGTGCCTTGTCCTGCGGCCTGCTGCTGATCGGGCTGAAAGTGAGGCGCCCCGCCTTCCAACGCTGCATCCTGCTCCCGGCAACCATCCAGCAGCAGCATCGGCTCCTAGATATTGCATTGCGATGCACATCCGGGCGGGAGTTCGCATCTTACAGTGCACGGCGCCGGGCTCGGTGGAGCAGCACTCTGGGGCAGGCAAAGGCCGATCTCCACCTCGGCGGTGCATGACGGCGTTGCATCACGGCTCTGAGATGCGTGCCATTCGTCTCCGCAGGCTGTTTTGAACGTCCATCGAACTCAGGTGCCGGTGGCTCTTGTGGGTGGTGTGTCTCTTCCTCCGCGGCGGACTTTCAGGCGGCACGTTCATCAACCCACCAACGCACGGACTTGTCCAGCGCCCGTGCACAAGCCCACTTTCTGCCACTTTCTGTTTCTGCGCAGTCGCTGTCTGTGGGAGTCCGAGGCGGACAATGACGGACGGTCGCCCTGCATCCGCCTCCCATCCCAGCCCATTCGAGCAGGCCTGCACCGGCGTCCCTCACGCCGCAAGTAGCCCACGATCCCGGATATGGCGATCCTGGTCGTCAGTGGTATAAAGGTCAGAATAGCAGCCTTCCAAACCCTTATTGCGTAAAGCATAAGCGAGTTAGCTGTTGATCCGGGTTCGATTCCCGGCTGACGCAGGTGACATTTTGCTCCATCCGACCCCCAGCCGTCTCTCTCTTGCTGCCGGGTGTCGTGGGCGCGGTTTGGGGGCAGTTTCGTGGGTGTAGCGGGCTCCAGGCCGCTCTGGGGACCGTGAGGGGCGTAGATCAGACGGGTCAGAGCCAAAAACGACAGCTGCGCACTTACTTTCAACAGTTTTTTTTTCCGATCTGTCGCCTTTAGCGATGTGAAGAGGTGGGGCGGCCGACCGTCGGCAAGCCGCTGGCGTCGCTTGCCTGCGTGCGCCGGCGGCTGGAGACCAACCGCGAAACCGCTCGGGCCTGCTCTTCCGCCAGCGCGTCGCCTCCTTTCTTCCTCATTTCGGACCTGGCGCTAATTTGCTGGCTGCCCGGGACCGAGCTGTGCCCGCAGCCGCGCACCTGGACGCGGAGGGTGCTGCGTCCGCGGGTGGTGTCTCCCGCCTGGCATGGGGCTGATGAAGCCGGCTAGGCGCACCGGCGAGGTGTCCATTTTGACCTGTTTTGCCTGCCCCTTCGCCGTACCGTTTCGCGCTCGGCGCCTGAGAAGCTCCATTCGGCCACCACACCTCTGAAGTTCACCGGCGTCGGCAGGCTTTGGGACTCCTTCTTCGCCGGCATGCCGAGCACCGAGCATTCTGATTTTGCGCAGGACTCTGGCAGCCGGCTTCGTTGGAAAGCTGGCCCCCGCGGACGGCGTCCCGTGCCCAGGGAACGCCAGGACGCCCCGTCCCATCGAGAGGATCGGCATGACGGCGATTGGCGTGGTGGTTGCCTCGAACGATATGCTCAAGTTTGCCTTTTGAAGCTTCGTAGTTTGGAAACGAGTTCAGGAAGGTTTCGTCGGTACCGGAAAGATGGACATCGACTGAACGCCACCGGCACTGCTGTCCGGCGGTCAAATCAAAGATCGGAAACTATGAGGACTTTGGATGTTTCGATGTGTTTCGCTCCACCCGCATTGGAATGTTCTGGGCGTGACCCGAGAGACCCGGAGAGACCTGGGGACGTGGCGGAGGAGCCATTCGGACCTTTTGGCCCTAATCTGCCTGACGGGTGCTTTTGAGCGTAAGGTGCACATTCTACTTGTTGAACGTTTCTTGGTGGCGGGGCGTGGGAGCCACGAGTCGGTGCTGGACGGGGTCTCGGGGCATAAGGGTTCGCCGTCGCCGATGCCGCCTGGGCAAGTGTGCCGACGCTCTGGACTTGTTCCTTCTATCATGCCGCGAGCTATGTGACCAACATCCGCTGATTTGAGTGAAGATTGGCGGCTCCGCCAACCTTTTGGCATCCGATCAAACTCCCGGCCTTTTCCGACACGTCGACGCCGACGGGATGTGCCGTCCCTCAGCTACTTCAATCCTAGTCGTTAATTCTGATCTATTCTTTGCGCCTTTCTTTGGTTATTGTGGCCATGTCGCTGATGAACGACCGGTCGCTGGTGGGGTTTGTCGTACAGCTGAGCTAGCCCGTCGGAGCCCATCGACCACCTCGTGCGATAGAGCGTCAAAGCCTTCTATCCAGTAGTTTGCCGTTCTTGCGGTCAATTTTGTTGTGCCGATCACACCAGCGCGTGGACGGACGGCAGGGGACCGACGCCCCATTTTTCTTTCCCCGAATTCTGGAGCCAATCGCGGGCACGATGGCGTCCAATCCGTTCGACGACCCTCGTTTGAGGCCTCTCATTCTGAAGTACGAGAAGGAGAGAGGTTTTCGGACCGGCATTTTCCGCGAGGCGTTCGAAATCGCCGTCTCGCATTGCGGTCTGCGCGTCAACTTCGGATCCACGCCTCCAGAGATCGTCATCGAGGGTGTCTTTGAACCGGAAAAAGGCGATGATTGTCTGGACTACACACGCGTGTTCGACAAGAGCCTCTACGATTTGGATCCGGAGACGAAGATCTTGCGCCTCAGGGGCGCGTACTACTTCGGCGACACGATGCAGGACATGGAGGGCCGAGACAAGTCGAAACAGGACTATCTGGAAGAGGCGATCGAGAAGGGTACGCTCGCCGTGATGGTTTCGATCGCGCCCCTGACTTTTCCGACCCGAAGCCGGCGACAACTACAAGGTCTTCGCCAGGCAGAACCGCGACCGCCGCCAAAGATCGATGATCGAGATCGCGGAAATCGCTCTCGGAAAGATCCTCCATTCCGATTGCCCGTATCCGATTCTCAACAAGTCCTGCTTCGGGGTGCTGTGGCACGAGCAGCTACGCGAGTGGGAGCATGAAGGCGTGGAGCTCGACCTCGTCCTCGACCTTGGAACGGCGCCCCCGCTGTACATGGCAAAGAAGGAGGTTCTCGAGTACGCGGATCTGGCATCCGTGGCGCACATGTCGAATTCGGCCGCCATCCAAGTGTCGAAGTGGAACACGTCGTTTGCTGATTTCTTCTTCGACCTTGACTCGGCGCACTTCAAGACGCAGGCCGGCAAGATGTCCCGCGCGGAGCTTCTCGCCCGAGAAAAGCTGGTCAAGGACTTCGCGATCGCGGAAAGGAAGCGAATCCTGGTGTTCGCCGGCGATCACGGCCCGCTCTCGATAATCACCAAGCCTCCCGTCTTCCTCGACTCGCTTCACTTGGCCTACGTGATCCGGCTGAGCAATGAAGTGTTCGGCCTCGGCGTGACGCGCTACGACTTTGGGAGCTTCGGGCACCACAATGACGAGGTCAAGATCGCCCTCAACTCGCTCCACGATCTCAAGAAGACCTCGCTTGTGGCCGCCAAAGAGTACCTCAAGAGCCTACCCGCCGAGAAGCTGGACCTCAAGGAGACATACGTGCACGTGGTCGACAAGGTCCTGGCCCGTTTCGCCCCCGAGCTCAAGGCCCGCGCCGAGGCGGTCAACGCGGCCATGGCGAAAGAGAGGGCCCGGGCGGAAAAGAAGAAAGGTAGTTCCATCGCCAGTTTCGTTGGCTCAATTTCGTCGTCTTGCTTTCCAGGTGTCGTACGGGGGCCTCCAAACGAGCGGGTGGAGCCCGTGTATCGCGCCGAACTCAGCTCGGGCCTCGCGCCCGAAGTCGTCGCGAAGATCAAGGAACTCGACAGCCGAGGAGTGCTCAAGGTCGGCGAGAACGCCCCGGACAGCGGCGCTTCGGGCGCAGCTGCAGAGGCCATCGCGACGCCGTCCGCCGATCCCCGTCGCGACGTCGACTCCGAGATGGCTGACGTCCACAGCGCGAGCATCGCAGAAAGCTCGACGTGCGGTGCCGAAAAGTGAGCCGAACGATCCATTTACCTTCAGTGGCGGAAACTGACTGCCCATGCTGCGTGCCCAAGAATCCGCAGCCGGCCCGTCAAGCTGTCACGGCAAAGACCGGCGTCAAGATCTTCCCGCTTGTCGAAGAGGAGATTGCGCGTCAGACCGAAATCAAGGCAGTGGCGGACAAGGGCTTCGCCACCTTCCTGGACCGCAAGCTCGCCGCCTCGACTCCCCACTACAACGCCCTCACCGATGCCGAACGTGATGGGCTGCGCTTGAGCCTTGCCAAGAAGGAGATGTCGGACCTCGAGAGGTACAAGATCGTGAAGCACTACGTCGCGGGCACGATCACGACGGAGCAATTGCTCACCATGTCCGACAAGAAGCTCATCCAGATCGCCCGGCACTCCTCGTACGTTGCGATCAGCAAGAAGGGGTATTTCCGAGCGCAGAGACGACATGGTTCATCTGCTGCGGGTTCGACGCAACCAAGGAGACGGTTTGGGACGTATCCAAAATCTTCTCGGGGAGCCACGTCAAACATTACGTGCACACGGATTGACTCTGCTTGGTCATGGACTACTTCCTGAATGAGCTCGAGGGCGAAGGAGCGGAAAAGTCCATGAAACTCCTGCTCGGCTACGATGCCATCGTCTCGCCCGACATGACTCGCGAGCTGGGGGAACTGCTGGCGGACACCAACGTGTGGCAACGCTGCACGCGCTTCCTCTTCGATGGCAACGTGCTGCCGTTGGTGGTGAACCAGCGTCAGCTGGAGGCGCTCGTCGCCCGCGAGGTGATCCGCACGCCGGAAGATGTGCACTCGGCCGCGATAGCCCAGATTGTGGGTCTGGAGGTACTGCAGGCGAAGGCCAACTACACCAAGCTTGGTCGCGACACGAAAGGCAAGAACGATGAGGAGGCGGAGCGGACCAAACGAAACGCGGCGATGGGCATCTCGTTCGCGCAGACTATTCCGAACCGGATCCGCAAGTACGCAGAGGTCTTTTTCGGCATTCAGAGCGTGCAGAGCAAGCGGAAGCCCACGGCGGTGGAGAGGAACAAGAGTGGGAACTCGTCCGACCTCAATATGTACTGCTTCTTCGAGGTCGGTGAGGATCCCGGCTTTGAGGACATCGGCGCTTTCGAGGCCGTGGAGGTCCTTGACTACGACCGGCTGGCGATGTAACGTAACTTGACTGATGCCATTTGTCCGTCGTCAAGAAGTGCAGCTTGACAAGAATCCGCAGAACATAGTCTGGGAAGGGTCCCGAGACGCCCGCAGATTGAGCGTCCCCGAACTGGATCCAACAGGAGCACAAAAGCCATCCAATCCACTTGCAGTTTGACAAGGTCCCAAATATAGCCCAGTTGTCCGAAAGAACCGGGAGCGAAAATCGGACCCGTGGCCCGTGGCCCGGCCGCCGTTGAAGTCGTTGAGCCACAACCGCCCGAAAGGCGCTGGCTTCAAACAGTGCTTATCATGGTTCGGAGAAAAGCGTAGTTCCTCCGAGGCGTTACGACGTGGTGTAGGAGCGAGCGGAGTTCTCGGTTGTTTGCTTGCTTTCCCGCCTCACTCGGGCCGCCGCCTCCCGCCTCCATCCGACTCCTAGCGCACATTAACCTGATCCGCGGGGCTCGCAACGTATCTCCCTCCGAGGCCCAGGTGTCTTTCTTTTGCTCCCCTGATGCTGTGGGGCCGGTTTGGGGGCTCTGGCCCCGGTGTGCCGAGAGGCACTCTGGGACGTTCGGGGGAGCCTGAGGTCGGCGCCAAGGTCCCAAACCGACAGCATC